AGCCTTTTATATAAATGATCGGCCATTTTATGCTCAGCAGCAGCAATCTTCTCGATACCGATCGTCCTATGAAGATGGTAGACGATACCTGCTCTGATGCATCCGAGGATGTCGGGGGTACCTCAAGAAATATCGAGTGAAGAGTGAGCTAGGTAGAATATAGCTCACCAGCTTCCTCGCGCTCTTCGAAGTTATCCAGATACCGATGACCTCTCTGACTCACGTATAGAACGACGCCTCCGCCGCAGACAGTCGGCACGGCGTTAGTCTGTCGTTTCTTCTTACACAACAAGAGACCGCTGCTACCGGGACCACCGATCAGCTTATGAGGAGATACGAATGCGAAATCGATATAACCGTTAGGGTGCGTAGAAGGGTTCATATCGACCTGTAACAGCATAATCATGGAAGCTCGTTAGGGACAGAGTCCGACAGATAAGGGCCGACCTTGTCATGAGCTGCAATGGCTGCCAAGTCCCATGCGACAACACCGTTATATTCATGGATCAGAGTTGATACTGTCGGTATCTGTTAAGAAATCACCTCAGAAGAATGTATCTCGCCTTACATCGAGACGCGCACCACAGATATTGCTACAAGCAGAAAGGACGACCACTGGTATAGCGGAATTATGGTGATGACGATTGTAATCCATGACCTGAGAAGACCGTTGTCTCATCTTGGTCGACTTCAGCCAACAATCCACCTTCTTCAGTGCTTTCTCGAGACCCTCAACAGAAGCAGTACCCTTGACTGGGCATAGAGGTAGCGTCTGAGAGAAAAGGGGACGGCTAAGGTGCAAAGGATGGGTGAGCACCTACCTCGAGTTCAACTTCGAAATCTGCGGATTCGTTACCTTTGAAGCACATGAGAAATGCCGCCAGAGCTAACAAAGGATGATTCATGATGACCTTTGCATGGATCTGACCTGTGGGTGCTGGGCGGACGAGTGGATAGTTCGAAGCCAGCTCTCTGAAGGGGAGTAATGAGCTGTGATGAGCAGCCGGATCTACAATCAAAACCTGAATGGCAACGATCAAAGCTAATGTGTTTGTTAGAGATGAGCGGACCGCCCGACGGAGGCCTCTCGGAGATGCATCAGTAGCAAAGATTCGACTGTGGCACAGGATTCCAATGAACCTGTCGATAGCTGCCGTAGCTCCAGCACCACAGAAAATGACTGAATGATCAAGCATGTGACCTGGCGCCTGCGACCGGTGCACTTACCGGAGTCTTCGGCAGTACAATTGAAATATTTACGAATCTCCTCCCTTGCGTCTTCGCGGTAACGCATCGTTTGACGAGCAGTTGCCGAAGCCATGGAGTGAGTGTTCGCGTATCTGCATGACTTGACGACGGCGGATTCAGCCGAGATGACTTCCACGTACGTAGGACAGACGGTGGAGGATATGAATTCCTCAACACTAGTCAGACTTCTGCCTGAAGCAGTATAATCGCAGTATCTGGACTGAGCTCTTGATTGCTCGAGTGACGGTTTCGTCACATCATCCTTCGCGTGGAGTCGTCGAAGGCACGGGAATTCTCTCGTGCTCCC